TGTATTTGTCAATTTTTTTCGCCAGGTTACGATGTACGAGCTCTTGCTGAAAACTTGGATTGGTTAGCTGTCATGTCTTATGATTACCATGGCCAATGGGACAAAAAAACCGGCCACAATTCTCCCTTCTATTATCACCCTGAGGATGATTATGCTGACTTTAACACTGTAAGTTTTTTGTGAAAAACCTTGAATTATAAGAGTTTCAATTATTTTGCCAAATCCCTTCAAAATAACAAAAATTTTAAACAAGTTGAAAGTTCCGCTGACAATTGTACCAGGGAGCAGCTCTGACAACTGTTGTAAAATACTGGTAAGGACAAAGGTCAATATAGCAAGATGTAAGTAGGTATAACATTGAAGAATAGGATGAAACATAATATAAGCAAATTCAAGGACTCTTCGCATATCTTTTAAATCTGAGGCATTTGTGGATTTGAATTTTTTAAGAATCAAAGATCTGGAATAAAATAAACAAGTGTATCCATAGGTATAATAGCTCAAAAGAGCAGTGTAGAATCATGTGATGAGCTAGGAAAGAGGAGCTAATTAAATATGCCTGCAAAAAAATGGATTTTGAATCTAAAGAATTGTAAGGTTCTTACAATTCCATCAAAACAAAATTAGAACAATAACTGGTTTTGGATAAAGGTAGACAAATATCAGCTAAATGACCACAATTTCAAAAATACACAAATGAAAATCACATTCACTCTTTGTAAGAAGAATAATCAAAGATGAAAACTTTTTTCCCTCAAAAATGAGGGAATGATGGCACTATCCGCTGGGTTTTGTATGGGTGCTTCAATCAGTAATGAACCATTACTAGGGTTTGTAGCTCTGAACAATCGAAGTAGCGTCACTTATGAGAGCCTGTTACTAAAACACAAAAATGAATGATAATACAAAATGAAAAACTGACAAAAAGAAGAAACCAAATAGATAAAAAAAACCCAACAAAAGTATTATTATTTATTTTGATCTTTTACAATTCATGTTAGTTTTGCCCAAAAATCGGGCTGGCTTGAGCAAAAATTGTTTTGCTACCTTGACATACAGTCAAAATATATTACTTTATTAATCCTAGCTATCTGCTTAAAAACTATTAAATGTTTACAAAGCTTCACTCCGAATTTATATGACTAATGTGAAACTACATTTGTTTGCTTTGATTCCTCAGGATTACTCCATCAATTACTGGATCAAGCAAGGAATGCCACGCAGGAAGATTGTGATGGGTATGCCATTCTATGGTCAATCATTCACATTGGCCGATCCAAACAAACATGGCCTCAATGCCCCAGCAACTGGACCGGGTGAAGCTGGTGAACAGACACGTGCAGCTGGTTTCTTGGCCTATTATGAAGTGAGTCAAGTATTGTAGTAGTATTAGTCTATTCACT